CTCCCCAAAACCCCAAAACCCCAAAACCCCAGAGGTCGCATCTAAGATTGAGGTTTACAAGTTTAGAAATAATTTCTATGAAGTAAACAGCCAGGAATAAGTTGTAAGTCATCAAGGTACTAAGAAGCCACAAAAGCCAGTGATGCCAATACCTCCATGACCTAACCTTTTCCCTCTCTCAAGGAAGAATGCATTGATTGTTGTAAAGAGAGCTTTATGAAGGCACTGAGATGTTATATAGGTTATGAGTTGCTAAATTTGACAAAGTGTATAGTTAGTTTAAAATGATGAGGTATATCAATTTTAACAATGAACTAGGATTGGAGATTCTTTCTCTGAATGAGCAATATCAAGCTAAAGAATATTGTAAAAAACCTGGAAGCACCTTCTCAATCCAATATTACTATCAGAACAAAGAATCCTAATAAAAAAGTGATTAATATTTTAGCAAGCAAGTTGAATGATATGGCATATGAGAATTTGGAAGTATTAAATTTACTTATAGCAGGCTTTTTAACAACTCTGGACCTTGAACTATATTCTTCATTTATTCTTGACTCTGATCCAGAAAGGCTTCGCATTATGTTACGGGACAACACTGGAGAGTTGATCTTCACTATAGATTTCTTTGAAGGAATTCTTTTTATTTCTTGAGCAAGAATAGTGAATATCATTTCAGTTCCTTCACCATATACTGATTCGACCATAATTTCTCCACCAAGTAACTCAACATATTTTTTGCTAATAGTGAGCCCAAGACCACACCCATCAGGATTGAGGTCTTCATTCTTTTCAACGATCCCAAATAGTTTAAAAAGGCAATCAAGATTTTCTTCTTTAATACCAGTACCAGTGTCTTGGACTCTGAATTCCAAGAAGTCTTGACCCTCCAGAGTTTTGAAGAATGCAGCCTTAATTTTGATAAAGCCTCCAAATGTAAACTTCTGCGAGTTCGAGACTAAATTCAAGAGAATCTGTCTGACTCTGTTGCGATCAGTGCTTATTTCATTGAAATTAAGAGCATCTTCCCATTCAATCTTCAAGTCAACTCCTTTGTTGTAGCATTGGAATTCAAACAAAGAATGAACCTCGTGCAGCAACTCGGGGATATTGAAGAGGTCATGCTTGATTATAATAGTTCCATTGTCAATCTTAGACAAGTTCAGGATGTCTTCAACAAGGGAGAGAAGTAATACTGATGAAATTGACCCGGTCTTGATAAATTTGGTGATTATTTCAATAGGCTCTTCTACTACTCGAGATTTCAGAAAATTTTCTGATGTTCTTCTTTCTACAATTGTTAAGAACTCTTCTAAACCAGTCTTAATGAAGTCAAAAGAATTTATGATTGCGTTCAGTGGAGTCCTAAACTCATGACTGGCGCTTGCGAACATGATCTTCTGCATCTCGATCTTGTTCTTGGCCTTCTCGAGATTAATAATGTCGGTCGTGTCAATGAAGACATGCATAACTGAAGGAACTTCTTTCCATTCAATGTTCAGTGACTTAATGTTGAAGTTCCTATTTGATGCTTGTTCTTCATCATTCTCATTATTTAACCAATCTTGTTCAAATGAATTCCTAAAACCAGTCATTAAGCTTTATTAAGAGCCATGGCTAACATCTAATAAGAAGGAACATCTCTCCCAAGTGCTTACTTTTTCATAAATTGTTCTCATTGAAGAACTGCATCCCACTTTGTCTCCTCAAAATGAGAGTGTTTCATTTTCTGACTCCTTGCAAGATGCTGGAGAAGGGTTCATCTATGACAAATCTTGCCTAGCTCATTTTTCTCCTTCAGGGTAACTTTTATATTGTCTAATTCTTGTACCTTCTGATTCAGAGCCTTGATCTTCTGTTCAAACTGGTCGTTAGAGTAGCAAGGAGAAGACTTCTTAATTTTTTGAGGAAGTATCAAAACTGGGTGAGGAAATTCCTGTACAACTTTCTGCTTCTCCTTTGCTAGTTTCCTATTCTCCAGAATCATCTTGTACATCTGTGAGAGTCTTCCTTGATGAGTCTCTAAGCCGAGATCGAAGAACATGATGGACATGACTCCTGATACGATCAAGTCATTGTCTATTTCTCCGAATCTGTACATTGCGATTGCCAGATGCATCAGTACTGTCAGAGAGAAGATCAAGCAGATCTGGTGTCTCTTCGATGGAGTCAGAGTTCACAGGAAATAATGAAGCAAGTATCAGCACGAGAGAAATGAGTTGAAATGCTCTTTGTGATTGGTCTGGAAGAGCAAGTGCAGCAAGAAATATCCAACTCCGTTGAATATGAATAAGGCCATAGGTATATATGAGGGAAATCTGGAAATCTGGAAATATAATTTCTAGAGAGGACGATCCCAGTCATCATTAAAAGTGTTCCAGAAAGCCTTGCTATGTCTACATAGTCCTGATCGTGCTTGAGAGTCTAATATTAAAGTAGAGTCTTACATTGAGAACGATGTAGAACATGGTAATGAATACGATTCTTTTTATTGACTATATCAATTGTTAAAATATCTAGGCCAAACCAAGAGTACTGGTCAATCAAATTATAAAAGATCATATTTTTAAGAAGACTGAGATAAAAGGATGCAGCTTGTTCAAATATCTAATCCTATTATGCTATCTTTTCTAAAAAAGTAAACATGACGAATGAAAAATAATCTAATTTCCTATCGAAGAAATATTATTTATAAGTCTATGTGAATTTTTAGAAAAATTGATGGACAAGTGATCAGATGATAGTTTATTAATAGAAATCTTTGCTACTCTTATGTTCTTATAATCATAGACCTCATAAGCCGTAACCATTTGGGATAAACAGGATTATATATTTCTTCTCAACATTATGATCGTATTTGTGAACACTTTTAAATAAAAACTCTCTCATAAATATAAAAAATACCAAGTAAATATACTAAGCGACTTTTGCTGTAGCTCATAGTTGGTATTGAGGTATTAACATTATTGCTGGAGGGATTGGAAGAATCTAGAAAGATATGACTTTTTTATAAAAATATCTAAATTCTTAAAAGAAATAGTAAGGATCTTCCTCTACATTCCACTCACCTTCTGTACATTATCTACTGTAGAGAACAACAAATAATTCCTCTCAGCTATAAATATAAACACAAGCTTTACGTTTGGGAAGCTGGTTTTCCAAAAGGACAAATTCTTGATCTTGGTGAGGATTTTTGAGAACAAAATCAATGACGGTAGATACATAACAATATCATATACCCCACTCATGGCCTACTCCAGCCCTCTTGTGTTCAGGCCTGCTTCTTGGGTCAGGCATCCTACTGGTGAACTCCATTGCTTACTTTTATATTAATTTATTACCAGTGCACATGGAGTGGGGTTTTGGGGTTTTGGGGTTTTGGGG